TTATATTTTTATGTACTTTATCAATGCTTTTATTTTATTATTGAAATTAATTGGTTAGTACAATTGCTGTCTCTTCACAGTGGTATTATACAATGCTTGTGCTTTTCTGACTGACTTGTTTCACTTGATTCGATGTCCTCTACATTCCTCCGTGCTGTGCAGTGTTTCTCGAACTCTCCGTCATTCGTTAGTGTTGTGTGGTTGCTCCCTTGTCTGGGAGATGAGGATGAAGGGGAGTCCCCACGTGGTAACACAGCCGCCTGCCTGTGCTGGCGAGCCAGAGATGCGCAGGAAACCGACGCCTTGTTTAGAGTTTGGAGTCCAAAGTATGTGAGACAAAGTTTCACCATCCTTGCCTCTAAGAGGCACCAACCTGACTGCACTTCCTCCGAGAAGGATTTGTTTGCTTTGTGACAGTCTGTGCTATGTTTCAATTTCATGCCACATCACAATCAAAATCACAGTTTGATGGTTTTTAACTGTGGTGAATGGTGGCTTCACTTAAAGTGGTATTTCTGCCTTAAATCATGCCCATTACCAGGCAAGGAGGTCGGGCTTCCTTCAGCCCCTGCTCTTCCTGCGGAAAGCGATGCTCAGACGTGGACGGAGGAATGGCTGCCAGGGTGAGGACGGTGCAGAAATGGGCTGGGCTTCCTTCCCCAGGAATGCCATCTGTGAGGGCAGACTCCCCACACCTAGCAACATGTCCACTTACGCTTGTATATGTCACATTTTGGTATACATTTATATTTATGCTTATTTAATTTTACATTTAATAACATTATTGTTGTTTTTGTTAAGTGCCGTCGAGTTGTAGATGACTTATAGCGACCCTATGAGCGAAAGACCTAATCAATTGTATAACTTTCATTGTTTCTCCAAGTTCATAGAGTTTCCGGAGGCAAACTGTTTCGGAAGTGGATGCCGCCACTCCTGCTTCCAAGCTTGTTTTAATTGGGGAGCTCCACCAAACACTGTCCACCATGGGTAACCATTATCACATCTGACACATCAGTGTCACAGTGTTTAGCATCACAGCAACCATGGGTTACCTCTATACAGCAAATGGACAGAACAGTGCTATGCCACTTAGAAGAATGTTTGACAAAAAACAATTAAAACCAAGCCCGGGGGCCGCAGATTAAAGTCACCCACCTTTGACTTGGTAGCATCACTTTCTATCCACAGGCACACAGAGCTCTATGTTGGCGTTATTGTTGTTAAGTGCTGTCGAGCTGTAGATACTTTTAAAATATCTATTTCTACATTTACTTGATATTTATATTTATGTTTGTTCAATGTTAAATTACAATAAACTCATTAAAACAAATACATTTTTTTTTTCTTTCCAAAGAGAACAGCAAATTGAGGAGGGAGAGGTGGACAGGGAGAAAAATGCAACAATGAATGAATGGAAACCCTAAGTCTCTGTAAACTTTCATTAAAATTCATACAAAAAGAGATTGAACAAAAATGTATTCACGGAAGCTTGAATCCTATGGTTTTAGAATATTCAGTAATTTGACCATGGCTCATTGTCCTATCTGTGGAAAAATTTTTAAGGTACTGTTCGATAGAATTAGGTAGCAAATTGGGAGAGGAAAGAAATATTTTTTAATATTTTATACATATTTATTCATTATTAAAACGACTAATAATCTTTTTCTCCTCTTTTTTTCTTGTACTGTCAAATCTGATCCGCGTGGCACAGGAGGAGATTGCCCCTTCTCCAGGGGAGCGTCTGGTGGATTCGAACCACATGCTTTCAGGATTGTAGCTTCTTGCTACTAGGCTACCAGAGCTCCCTGGAAAGAAATATTTGACCTAAAAGACGCAAAATCTTTTCCATCTTTTTAAAAAAGATTTCTCCCCTACCAAAATTCAACATATGATCTATAAATGCCATTTTTAAAATCAGATTTAGATGATCTAGAATTTACAACACATTTTATTGAATCATTTTCTTCTGAGATGTTGCTGAGTTAATTTTCTAGTCTTTGAAATAGCTCTTCCCATTAACGTGACAGTGAAACTTAATTCCACCCCCCCACCATAGGAAATACATTTGACGGTTTTCCATGCATTTTCTCCATTGCTTTTCCTTTCTCTTCACAGTCACATGTGCTTTTGTTTAGTTTCTGTTTGAGAGGGTCCGATCTTGACTCGAAGAGGATAAGTAACATCTGGGTCCTTGTGGAAGTGTTGATCTGACCCCACAAGCACAGAACCACCAGTACACACATCAGCAAAGGGACTACTGAGCTCAGCTTCTGCCTTCCTCTTTGTCTCTAGGGCTATCCCGCTGATCCCACAGTCTTTCCCGATTTCAGTAATCCGAAGAGCATCACATGGTGGACAGACCAATTCAAAGAATTCCATAATACCCTGAAGTTTGATGGAGTGTGGATTGTAAGTTGTCATTCCTGAGATCAACTTTTCTTTGGGAATGGTTATGCCAGATTTTCAGATCTTGGTCCATAAATCAAATAGTTGGCTGGACACAGTGATATTGGAATTTATTCTCCTTAAACCTGAGCCTAAATGCATGAATTTAGACTCTCAAAGCTCTGAGTTCTAATTCTAGAACCACTATCAACTGATGATTGGTTGATTTATCATTCACTTTCCCATTACCTCAGCTTTTTCCTGAATATTGTATCTTTTGGTTTAGCGTTTCTGTTTAATTAGATGTTATACTTGCAATTATTTATAGCCTTCTTTAATGATTAACTTTAAAGAATAACTCGGTGACAATTTGGTGGTGTTTAGAGGACAGCAGGTGGGAGATTCCTGTGAAATTGGAAAGATTGTTATTGTCTGTTAGTCAGATTACACATTACTTCTTTTTCATCCATTTTAAAGAGATTTCTTTAACGTCAGTAACATTTTCTACTTGTATTCAGCCAGTAGAGTTGTTTTTCCTATTGTTTGCATTGAATTGGAACCAGCCCATAGCTGACACTCAGCAGCTGGACTGGGTTTTCAGAGGCAGTGAGTTGTACAGTAGGAGAGTGTCCATCCTTCTCTGTTATCAGCTGATAGATTCAAACTACGTGTCTTTGGGAGAGGAGCACAGCGTCTTACCACTAGGTCAAGGATGGGGGAACCCACCAATCTATCTTGACTTTTTAAAAATCAATACTGAAATAATGAAAGAAACAAGAAAATCTTCACATTTTATGAGATTAAAAACTACCATTAAAATAATACTGTTCATTAGCTGACTGAAATAAGCTTATCAAATATGCCCAACACCATTTAAATCTGTAAGGTACCTTAGATACACTCCAGTACAGATCTGTACAAGACGAAGCAGAGGTCAGAAGTGAGGGAGACGGCTCAGGTTCCCTGATCCAGTTCCTGGGAGACCTCAGCTATGCAGAACTCCAGTGCAGCAAAGTGTGTCTCAACAGCATCAATAACCTGCCAATAATGTTTTGTATCTTTGAAGGATATGGATGAAGTATCTAACCTCCAAACTTCCAAGATCCAGTGTGACTCCAACACTTTAAACTATCCTCCTTTCACTCCAAGTAAGTTTCTGCCCCTTTGCTAATGATGTAGGCATGGCGTGTGTGTGAAATAACTTCAGTTAGATGGCTTAAGGGTAAGGGATTGTGCTGTCAACTCAAAAGAGCGTAGTTTTAATCCATCAACTGCTCTGAGAGAGAAAGGTGGATAATCTCCTTCCATGCGAATTACTGCCTCTGTAAACCCGCTGGAAGGTCGGCTATAGGTCAGTTCTGACTCGACAGTACTCAGCAGCAGCAAGATTCAGTGTGGTCAATGGGAATTTCACGTCCAGCCTAAAATAGCCCCCAGTGTCCTGTCCTTTCTCTGTTCGAGTCTCTACTGCGTGCTTGGTCTCTGATTTCCTGATGCTACCACAACCCATCAGGCTGGGGATTGGGAGCCTGAGCTTGAATTTCATCCTTGGCAGCACTTCCTCTATGGAACTACAGATTCTTCCTTCCATCCATCCATCCATCCCACTCCCTCCAAACACCATTGGTTCCTGTATAGATTTCATGTCACCAACAGAACACTCTAAGGTCTGAACTACCTTCCAGTGAAGTCGATGTATAGTTTTGTAATTTTAAAAGCATCATCAGTGAACAGTTGAAAGAATCAGGTTCCTTTTAGGTTCTTCCTACTTCATAGGGTCCCTATTTCTGGTCAGCACCTATGCCTGGAATTTAAAAGGATAGAGTTCTCGAATGTAGGAATGTACCGTAGTCTATTAACACAAAGAGTAATATTGACTCAAAGCCTGCTTCAGTGAGAGACGGGGCTCACCTCCGCGTGGGGATTAGTAGATCTAGTGACTTCTTATGGCTTATTCTTCCTTTTCGTAGTACTTTGTTTCTAAGGCAAAGAGGACGAGAGGGGCAGAGGAAATGTTATAGACGAACTGGAAGTGGATGTGTCTCATCACCCTCTCACTTCCCCACTGTTGTTGGGTCACTTCCACTGACTCCATCGGGGTCACAGCAAAAGGACCCCACTCATCTTCATGCCACAGAGCTACTTGTGGAATCAAAACTCAGAAGATGTGACCCTTTAGATTTATGAACTACAGCACTAGATGGGGTGCATCTAGCTTGACCATAGTTTGGACAGAACTCAATCAGATGACCTCAGATTATATTCAGAAGACAGGAAATAAAATCCTCTGTAACATCTGAAAAGAAAATATTCCCAGTCTGCCCGAGACTTCTGATTCGTCCACTTCATTGGAACTCCTTGGACCAAGTTCCTTACTCCATTTTGGTCAATGAAGGAGTAAAGAATTGAGGTGGGGGAGGGAATTGACTGTCTTCAAACTATTGAGTGTCTTGTAGAATTTACCCTTTTCTTTTCCAACTTATTCTTTGTCCTCTTTTTAACCTGTTTTCCAATTTTTAAAGTCTGGGTCAACTTATCATGCCTTCCTGTCAGTCTTTAAACTTCTCTACCAAAAATAATCCCCCCTCCCCAGCAAATTGCAATGCCATGCTTGCTCTTCATATACTCAATCCCTCTGGATTACATGTGCAGATAAACACTGAGTGTTTTGCTTACATTTAAGATCAACTCAGTTGCTCACCATTCTGAGCACATTTCTCCACTTCCTCCTTTACCACGATTCCCTGTAAACGGATGGACTGAAGGTTCATTTCAATGACCTTCTCCATGAAACGTTCATTCTGTTAGGTTCCTTCCTTCAAGTAGCAACCACTTCATAGAGATCCAGTGTTCAACGAAATGAGAACTGTTCAATCCTGTCCTGTCCTCACAATCTCTGCTGTGCTTAAACTCATTCTTGCAAACACTATGTCAGTCCATCTCATTGAAGACCTTCCTTTCATTCACTAATTGAACACCCTGGTTAAGAAGAGGCATTGATGGAATGAATTTCATAGGGTGGTGATGAGCACAGAACACATTAACCAAGAAGGTGATAATTTGGTCATTATTTCCTGGAAATTGACTGACGGTTTTCTTTCTTCTGGGTTTTCCCCACAGGGGTTGTAGACCGCCTGCTTTTTGAGAGAACACTTTGCATGGACACAGAGTTTTATGAGGGCCTTCACTATGATGTCCACAGCTTGTATGGCTACTTCATGGCCCGTGCCACGGAATCGTAAGGACTTCACGACATTTCTAACTTGAGATTTGGGAAGGTGGGAGTTGGAGAGTTTCTCCTCTCTTCCCTGAGTTCATTTTTCAAGTATTTTTGTGGCTATAGAAATATTGTTCTTATAGAGTCCTTAAGGGATCTGTTCATTCAATTTCTGAGCTTTTGAGAAGAATGACTTTAGAGAAGCCTGTGATGAACAACAACAAAACAACAAACCCCAAAAGCAACCCCCCCTCCAGAACCCACGGAGACCCCACAGACAAAGGCAAACCGCCACCAAGGGTTTCCCAGGCTACAGACCTTTGAGGTAGAACATTGGCTCATCTCCCTTTGTGGAGTAAGTGGATGGCTTTGAACTGCTGACATTTGGCTTGGCAGTCCAAGCTCACAGTGCCTCCAGTGCTCTTAGTATACACTGAGGGACTCCACTAGTTCAAGCACTTTAAAAATAACTGACTGAGTTGTTTACAACTCACAGTGATCCTGCAAGACAGGGTAAAAGTGCCCACGGGGCTTGGAGACTACGCATATTTATGAAAGCAGCAGCTGGTGGTTTCGAATCCCAGAACTGAAAAAAGAAAGAAAGGGAGAAAGAGAAAG